AAATGATATATTCTTTTCAACTTTAAAATTTCCATTTGGAGATTTTGTATACATAATACATAAATTTGGAATTAAGCAGTATAGGAACCCAAACAAAAAATTCACTAGAGGTGCCTCAACAGTGGATTTGATTCAGCAGAAGAATCAGCAAACTTGAGATAGATCAATAGAGATTACATACAGTCTGAATAGAAGAACGGAAATGAATGAAGGTAAATGAACAGAGTGCCAGAGAAATGTGGGGCACCTTTAAGTGTCCAACACATATAAGATGGGAGTACTGGAAAGAATGGAGAAGGGGACAGAAAAGAGTATTTAAAGAATTAATAACAGGAAATTCTCCCAATTTAATGAAAAACATGAATCTACACAACAAAGAAGCTGGATGGACTCTAAATAGGAAAAATACAAAGAGATTTACTTCCAGACCCATTATAATAAAACAGTTGAAAGCCAAAGATAAAGAAGAGATCTTGAAAGCAGCAAGAGGAAAATGACTTGTCACATACTAGGGCACTGCCATGAGGTTAACAGTTGACATCTCTTCAGAACAGTGGAGGCCAGAGGCAACAAGATGACATTCAGTGTGCTGAAAGAAACAGAAATGTCAGCCACGATCTCTACATCTAACAGAGCTGTATTTTATTTTATTTTTAAAGATTTTATTTATTTATTCATGAAAGACACACAGAGAGAGGCAGAGACATAGGCAGAGGGAGAAGCAGTCTCCCCGCAGGGAGCCCGATGCAGGACTTGATCCTAGGACCCTGAGATCATGACCTGAGCCAAAGGCAGACAATCAATTACTGAGCTACCCGAATGCCCCATGGCTGTATTTTAAAAGTAAGGGTGAAATAAAGACATTCCCAGGTAAAGCCAAACAGAGAGTACACTGCTGGTATACCTGCCTTTTAAGAACTGCTCACTGCTTTTATTCTTCATGCTGAAAGGAAGTGACAGCAGACAGTAATTTGCATTTACATGAAAAAACAAAGAGCTCCAGTAAAGGTAATTATGAGGTAATGATAAAAGACAGCATAATTACCCATTTCTTTTTCTTTTTTCTCTTAGCTGATTTAAAACACAATTGCATAAACAATATCTATAAAATTGTATTGTTGGGCCTATAACATATAGAATTGTGATATATTTGACAATAAACCACAAATGAATGAAACTATATTAGAGAAAGGAAATGACACCAGATGGTAACTGGAATCTGCAAGAAGAAATGAAGTGAGACAGAAAAGGTAAATAATAAGCTTAATTTAAAAAAAAAAACAACTCTATAAATATACTTGAGCTCTCTTTTCTTCTTAAGAAGACATATGTTCTTAGTTTTTCTTTAAAGTTTTGATTTATTTTACAGCAAGAGAGAGAGAGCGAGTGGGGGAAGGAGTAGAGGGAGAGAGAGAATCTCAAGCAGACTCCCCACTGAGTGTGAAGCCTGATGCTGGCTGGATTTCACAATCCTGAGATCATGACCCGAGCTGAAATTAAGTGGGTCAGTAAAGTGACTGGGTCACCCAGCTACCCCCAGAAGACTTGTTTTTAAAAAGCAATCATTATAACAGAGTATTGTTGAATATGTGTGTATAGATATAATGTGAATAACAATAACAAAATAAGGAGTAAAGCTATATAAGAGTAGTTTCTATATGTAACAAGAATTAAGTGAGTATAAATATGAAGTATATTTTGATTAGATGTATATTGTAAGACCTATGGCAACCACTAAGAAATTAGGTAAAAAATGTAAAGAATCATTAAACAAATGAAATTTGTATGCTAGGAAATCTACATTTAAGATGAAAGGAGGGCAGCCCCGGTGACTTAGAAGTTTGGTGCCACCTTTGGCCCGGGTCATGATCCTGGAGACCCGGGATCAAGTTCCACGTTGGGCTCCCTGCATCCCTGCATGGAGCCTGCTTCTCCCTCTGCCCCCGCCCCCCGATAAATAAATAAATAAAATCTTTAAGATGAAAGGAGAGTAAATAAGGAAAGAGGAATAAAAGAGGGGAACTCTGTGAGTACCATTATGTGGGCCTCTTGTGACATTGTCTTAAAAAACTCAGTCATCCAACGTGTTTCAGATTGAATAACTTTCCTTATTAAGACTCATTTTCCCCCTCAACATATTACTATTCATGGTGCTCCTTGCATTTGAAATCTTTTAAGCAAGTTAATAAGAATCCTAGGATGGATTTTTTTTTCAGCAGATTCCTATATTAAATTTTCTGCTTCATCACACTCCTCTTAAAAACATCAAGTTGATCATGGAGCACACAGAGCTGCACACAAAGATATACATTGAGATACACACTTTATTTTGTGCTATGAGCTGTTTAACTATATACTTATCCGAAATTTATTCGCTGGTACTACAAACATTGACATAAAGATATATTAACTTATACATATGTTCTGGTACTACACATATCCAGAGGGATAAAAGTGACCATTACATTTGGGTTCTATTTAAGTTGAGTACTTGAAAACAACCATTTCATGACTCACTGAATAATCTCTATTAAAAATGAGTGTGTACATATGTATGGGTGTGTATAGCAGAAGGTATATAGTAATAATTAATAGTGTTCATAATTACAGAAACACAAAGCATTGTGCATATTCATATATAACATATTTAGAAATGTGTGTATTACCTGTTTATGTAATTTTTCATGTTCATAAATAACATATAGCTTTAAATAATGACATGCATGTATGACACACTCACACATACATAAGAACACCACACTCTACCGTAAAGCATTATAGATGTGCTTTTAGTGCTTAGAAACATGGATATGCTCCTGCCATAGCCCTCTGACAATTTGGGAGAATGGTTAAGGGTATATCCACAAGAATCAAACTGTCGATGTTCACCTCCCTGTTTTGCTGCTTGTTGGCTGTGTGACCTGGTATCTATAAAATCTAATAATCCTATTGTTTTCCTTGTGATGTTCTTATAAGCATTAAATGTCTTAATGCATGTAAAGTTATAGAAAGCACCAGGCAAACATTAAGTGCTCAATAAATTCTAGCTATCACTTTTGATCTTCTTTGATTCTGCTCTTCCAGGAGATAAAATAGTTTCTTTCACATCTGGAGCATGTGTTAAATTCAGATTATGTTTCCCATTTAAGCATAGATCTTCATATGTCTGCTATTGTGATAGTGTCTGCAACTGTTACACCTTTATTTGTGATCTTAGAATTTACAGATTGCAATGTGCAGCTATTAACATGTCTTGAGTATTACCCAGGTGATGGTTGCTTCTTAGTATTGAGCAGGTGTGTTTATATTGCTTTTCATGGACCTTTTGTGTGTTGTGTAAATAGGGTGGTGATATGATGATGACATAGACTATCTTGAGTACCTTTATGTGGTTGGCCTGGTCTCTTCCTGTTCTGATTTCTTTTATACATGAGCATAGAAGATGTTTGTCTCTTTTGTTCACCATTATATCCACAACACCTAGAAGAGTGCCTGGTACATAATATCAGAAATGAATGCATTGTGCTATTTTACAAACTAAAACCATTCACTTACTTCCCAGTATCCACCCAAATCCACTGATTTTATTGTAATCTCAAATAACGGTTATATAACTACTTCTCAAAATATGATTGAAGCTTCTGTTAAATTGAATAGGTTGTTTTCGTCTGAGCATTTCCCTTCTTTTTTTTTCCTTTATGTGTATAGAGATGCTATTTTATCTACTGACAAGTCTGATGCTGTCACCTCTTTCATTACAAACTAAGACCATCTCAGACTCTAACCCCTCTTCTCTGCTCACTTGCATACTACAGTCTATCTCTCCTGAGGGCCCCTGGCTTTATTGATATATGTTTTCTGGGTCATTTAATCACTTTTATAATCTAATACAGTTGCTTTCACATGCCAACAGAGCAAGGACCTTTTAGGTTTCACTTTTGAACCCTCCATATCACGTGTAGGTAGGAAGCAACTATTGGCAACAGCAAATATTTAATGAGAGCCTACTCAGTGCCAGATACTGAGCCCAGTGACAGGTTTGCTTCACAGCGATGTGAATGATAGTCTCTTTCTGCCTTCTCTAAAAATATTTGTTAAACGAACAATGGAGCAAATTCACATTTTGAGCAGCATGGTGTTGCAGAACAGGCACTGGATTTGTACAGGACACACTGGCTTAAAATCCAGGATGTCTGACTTTGAGATGTTAACTGCCTCTTAGAGCCTTGGTTTTCTGTTTGAAATGGGAATAATAGATCTACATTGTAAGCATTGAGATAACATAATGGGGGTGGAGTGGGGGCACTTCTAGCTGAAGTGCTTGGGCTAGAGAAGGCATCAAACAAAACTGAGTTTCTTCCTTTCTCAGAAAAGTGCTATTTGAATAAAAGTAGAATTATTCATTCTCGGGTATCATTATCTTTTTGAGGTGGTGGTTCTAGCTCTGGTTCTGTAGATACTCTTTGAATGAATCAAGCAAACTCTCACAGTGCCTGGCTACTAGGGGGTCTGGGACCAGGCTGGGCTATTGCTCTTTCCTCCTTCTGGAAATGTCTGTTTGTCTGCTGTGGTGATTATAAAATGCTTTCCTCCTATTCCTCATGAAATACCTCCTGGAGTCTAAGTTTTGTTTAATGTGTTTTTGTTTTGTCTATAGCATGTGGAATTAAATCACTACTATTTATGGGGGCATTTTCATGTTTGGAAAACATCTTCACATCCGCTATTTTGTTTGACACACTTGATAAGTCTGTGAGCATGACAGGGCAGGAACCAGTGCCATTGTATGCCTTTTAAAGGCAAGTAAGGAAATAGAACCTCAGAGTTTAAGTGGCCTTCCCAAGGTCACATAGCTTAAAACTGGTAGCACTAGAGGTCTAATCAACACAAGTCACCTGGCTACGAATTTCATGCCCTCTCTACCCTACTCTCCTTACCCTGGAAGCAAAGGCAACTCTGATATCCTTCATCTTGACAGTCTCCTCCATTCTTCTTTGCAGAGGCGTCCATCTTGAGCTACGATGGCAGCATGTACATGAAGATCATCATGCCCATGGTCATGCACACCGAGGCAGAGGATGTGTCCTTCCGCTTCATGTCCCAGCGAGCTTATGGGCTGCTGGTGGCTACTACCTCCAGGGACTCTGCAGACACCCTGCGTTTGGAGCTGGATGGGGGGCGTGTCAAGCTCATGGTTAACTTAGGTATCGTATGAAGTACCCTCTGCCACTTTGTTTGGGCTTGTCTTCCCTTTCTTTTCTGATTTTCATTGGTTTGATTGAATTCTTTGTTTGTTTCTTAAAAATTAGCTGCTCACCTCTTGTTTAATAGACCAAGGATAAAACCCAACAGCAACAAACACCTTCTCCTTGTTTCTGCATGAGGTTTTGATGTCAATTTCTGGTTTCTGACAGTGGTGGTTTTTGTTTTTTCTTACTAGATTATTTATTTTTTAAGTTTCCTTTCTTGGTTTTTTGGAACCGTTTAGCTTTGTGTAAAACACGCTACTTTGGTCCATCTTTTGATCAATCACATTGCCATTAAGTCTAACTCCTTGGTCACCACTCAAAACAGTCAAAGCCGGGGGCAGAGATAAGACAGCAAGTGGAGGCAAAAGGGGAGGTTGGGGTTGGAAAGAACTAAGCTTTGTGGGTAGAATGAGAGCTGCATTGTTTCTTTCTCCACAAATGGTAGTTCTGGTGGCACTGGTATCTCTTTCTACTTTCTCCTAATGAGGAGGATGAGTAAGATTGTTTCTGTTGTCCCACTGGAAAAACAATTTTCTAAGTTTATAGAGTCTCTGACATGTGGAAAGAGAATGTAGCTCCTGATATGTATCCCCTTCTTCCTTCCTGACATTCTTACCCACCATCTAGCAGCTTTTATCAAGATTGTTATGTTACACTGTTAGTCACCAATTCCTCTGTCCCCCTCATGTAATACATATGAATTTTTCCTTAGTGTTGAAAAATTATGACAATCTCAAATTTGCAGCTTTATTGGGGGAGGATTTGTTCTTCCACTGTAATTACCTGTAATAGATACTCTGGAAACTCCCCTCCTGATGGCCTCACATTCACCCCTGCTACTGACCTTCTTGACTGGATTCTGATTGCTCTTCTATGGAGAATGGGAACCTCTTGATTTCTGGAAGGAAAGAAACCAATTTCATTTTTACTCAGTAGAAAGTCAGTGCCCTCTGTCAATAGGATGAGTGGTATGGCTGAGTCCAAGCTTTCTAAACCATGGGTTTGTTTGGGTATATAGCATATGTTCAGATATAGAGCTCCTTTATAAAGACTTCAGGGGAATGGCTTGTTACAGGTGTGGGGAAGACATGACAGACAAATGTACCTGATACAAGACCATATAAAACCTTAGATGGCCTACTGGGAAGGTGGAGTTTGGAATCCATACCAGTCTTTCCTGCTGTCAGGTCAACTGGTCACACTTGGAAAATGCCTACACTACAATCCTAAAAATCTCTAGGACACAGAGGACTGTTTTGAGCAGTGGCTTTACTTGTCTTTTTTTTTTCTTCCAATTTGCAGCTTTTACAACACTATGCCCTTTATCTTTTCCAATCTCATTTGATTTCTATTGTCACTGTGTCTGTTATTTTTTCTTTGGTTTGTGTATGTGTGTGTTTGGTTATTTGGGGTTTTGTTTTTCTTTTTGCTGATCTTGTGTTCTTGAGTTTTCAGTCCTCCTCACCATCAGCCATGGTAAATCAAAAGATGGTATTCAACCCTTCAAAGGCCCAAAGCCTGCGGCCCGCATAGCAAACAGCCTTGAGAACAGAGTGTACTGAGCAGCCTGCAGGGGCTGGCATACCCCTGTCCCTCCCACCTTCCCTTCCTTACACCATCCTCCCCACCTTCAACAAACCAACAAAAGAGTGTATATGATCTAAAACCAATAACCCATAGCTGATTGTTTTCTTCTCCGAAAAATAGCAGAAGAAATTTTTTTAAAAAAAATTAAAAACCCAAATAAACATAAAAACAAACATAGCATCCTAAATAGTTCACAGAAAAAGATGAAGACAATTTTTAACTCTGCATCTATTTCAAAGTAAGAGAGAACCATATATATATATATATATATATATATAGATCGATAGATAGATAGATAGATAGATGATTAGCCCCATGGGATACCGGGAAAATATATACTATCTTTAAACAGAAAATATACTTTCCTTCTTAGACATTGTTTTGTAAAATGAGAAAGCCAATTGTGGTAGGCCTTATATCTTAGAATAAATACAGGTGGGGGGAAGGTAAAAAGGGATGAGGAAGGAGATGGAGAGATTCTCTCTCTTACGCACATGTGCATACACACACACAGAGGCAGTTAATCAGAGTTGCCATGTGTATTCCTAGAAACATTATTTTTCTATATTAAACTCTGCCCCAAATATGAGAGAAGTGCCTCTTTAAAAGACTGCTTTTGCCTTTTGACTCCTTTTAGCATACACTCAGTCTGTCTCCGCCAAGGTTGAGATATCTTAGGTAAAAGAGAGTTGGAGAGCACTGTGCTTTTCAGAAGCAACAGTGACTTCTTTTTTTCTCCTAAAGAGTATGGTTCACCAGAATGACTGGTTTGAATTTATTTACCTTTCTTTCAAACCTAACATGGACAACAACACTGAAATTCCCTGTGCTTATATATACAAAACTCTTTACAGTCATGCTTTGTTTAAAGGTTCTCTTTCCCTTCCCTCCCCAAAATATACCCCTTGGTGAATGTTTTCTCCTTATTATGAGTTCATATTTACCTTTTCTTGGTTATAGAAGAAAACGTCTCTAAGCAGGGTTTGCATTCATATTTATTCTATAAGAACTAACTTCAGATGATTATTTTGTTCACCATTTCAGTTGTGTGTCTTTTCTAACATATACACAAATGATATTACAGTTTATTTCAAATTGGTCACACATATAAGCTTATATAAAGCCTAGTATATATTTCTCTGATATAATGCATCCATCTCCTAAATGTCAAGGAGACTAAGGTTTCCCACGGGCCTTGCTCTCTAAAGATAGCTAGAGGTGATAACAGCAGGCATGAGAAAGGTCCTACAATGCACAGCCCATTTTTGAAAATTGATAGATTGGCTATTGATCAATCATATTTTTATTCCTTACAATTATAGCATGTAATAATAATATTGTATTATATTTTAAAACTTTATTTCAGTCAGCCACTAATTTTGTGAGATAAACCAAGGAAGTGCTTTTATGTTTTCTTTTACAGATGTGAGACACAGAAAAAAGTGACTTTACAAAGCTAACATAAAAAAGTTGATAGTGGAGCTGAGACTGGAACCCAGGTTTCTAAAATGCTAGATCAAAGTGGGTCATCTGTTATTTCCACAGGTCAATACTGTGGATCAATGATGTGGCAGTCTTGATGACTTCTAACTGCTTTCATGATGGTTACCTTTTAAACATGCACAGAAGGAATCTTTTTTCCTTAGTGCCTGGTTTGAATTGAGCCATAGAGCTGAAAAGTCAGTCAATATTGGCATCTCATTCATGACCCTTTCAAATCCTCAGCAGGAGGCCAGCAAGCCTTCTTCAATGATGGAAACTTATAGGGAGTGTCAAGCAGTTTGGTTAATTGTATTCAAATTCTCCAGATGTTCTGTCTCTGGCAATATGGACTTGCTGACGACTGTTTACAGTAGCATGTTGAAGACACACAACTCCTAGACACATTCACCTCCTCCATGCTTTCAACCCAAAGCTTATTAACCTACAAAATAATAATCTCCCATTTACTAAAATTAAACCAAAACAACCGTAATTTAAACAGAATGAACAACACATATACAGACTCAGATACCTTGCCAAGGCTACGGCAGAGATAGAACTTTGGCTGCCACTCAAGATAGATCTAAAGGAAGCTTTCCCAGCCAATTCCCCAGATTCGCTTTTCATCAAAAAATACCTCCTCCCTATCAAGACTACCCTCTCAGAGCCTATGAACAAGGCACTGGGTAGATAATTTTTTTCTCGAACCACTTATTCCTCAGGTAAAATATAAAAATAATTTCTCATTTCTCGACTTAACCAGTTGTCTACCATCTGGAAAGCTCTAATTCTTCACACTGGTTTAGAGACACTATTCAGTTCATGGAATCATTTGAGTGAACCCAGCACTTCCCCCTAGACCAGGTCCTTGTCTAAAAATAAGATCCTTAACGGCATAGAAACGAAGGAAGACAGCCACTTCTTGTTTACAGTTCTCAGGTTTGGGGCTTTCGGGCCCCTCTCCCTCCTCCCTTCTCTCGTAAGCATGCCAGCACACCTGTTTCCCATGTCTTCATAATACATCAGGAAGGGGTATTTCTCCAGCTTTGGCTGATGGTAGGTGCAACCAGTAGCTGAAGCCCCACCCCTTCCTCCCTACTTGCCCTCCCCCTTCCCAGTCCTCACCAGGGGCATGGCCTCTTCTGTTTGGTGATCGTACCAGTTGCTCCAGGGCTGTTTGCTCCCACTTTTCTGTTGCGGTTGACGACACATGACAAACCTAACCGCACGAAACCAAACCCAGATTTTTCTCAAGAGATGTTCTTCTGGGGAACAAATAAGCGTCCTGCCTCCTTCCTCAGAATGCTTGGGTGTTCAATATTTCTCCTATCTGGATTTCCATAGTTTCATTCTGCCCTGTCTTTTGCCACTGTTTCCTCTTTCACCTGGTAACTTAAAATGGTTTACTTTGGGAGTTTCAAATGGTGGCATTATCCTTGACGAGTCCTCCAAAACTTTTGGGTCTGCTTTAGGCAGAGGAGCTCAGTTTCTAACTGTATTTTTTCCTGTGACTTTTTTTTTCCTTTTCTTGTCTTACGCCTACGTGTTAGTATCCAGCTTTAAACAAATTCTTTTTGGAATTCCCACCATGATAAATCAAATTTAACTTCAACTGGGCAACTTTGTAATAACTAATCCGAGACCTTTTTTAACCGTTCTATCTAATCCCCTACTAGTAATCATTGACTCTACTCTAGACCTTTTGTGCTGGGTGTCCATGACTCTAAACAGAAATTAATGAAGGATAGAAACTCAGATCTCTGGCATTGGATATCCTGTGTAATTACCAGTGCTGGAAAATTACACCCTTTCCCCCTCTTTTTCCCATTAAAAAATATAAAAACAAAGAATTTTCTTCCCTTTAAATGCAGAATTACCGAGTGAAATAGGTAGGATATCAAAGGTACCTGAGACCTCCTCCCCATATACCTGTCTCGCCTTCTCCTGGAATGCTGTAGGCACTTGATTTAGTCTGAGCATTCAGGCAGGAAGACGGAGATTGGCTTCATGAGTGGGTTGGTCTAGGAGCCTTTGAAAAAATAGCAGAGAACCCAGTCAATTGTGATAATATCATGCAGCTCCTTTTACCCTACACCCAACCCCACCTCTCTAAAATCTGGGATGGGTGTTTGTGCGGTTAGCTGTTTGCAAGTGGCCATTTTATGACAGGAAATGACCAGGTGGTATTAACCCTTTCCTTATCTCTAGGGATAATGGCAAGTCTGCCTACACAAATTTCTGTAGCATCTGGGGCCCAAGTAAAGAGGGTGGAGGGAGTTTGTTTTTAGAAAAAGAGAAAGGGTTAAATACTACACTGAGAAACTTCATGGACAGACTTCTTTAAAAAAATAAACAATGTGTCAGATTGGTAATATATCATTGGAATACTAATGCAAAATTGTGTTGATGCTACTTTTAAAGACAAATTTTAAGAAAATCATTATAGGGGGAAATAGAATATAACCTGCATCTGGTGGTGAAATTTTTGCATAATTTTCCAAGTTGAACAAAATTAACATTTCAAAGTTCAGGATTGAAATACTTTATATAAATGAGTAGGTTTTTGGAAAAAAAAAAGGAGCAGCATACTCGGTGTCTATTGTGGATATATATGTATACCAGTATATATCTCTATACATATGTGTATATATATATGTGTGTGTGTGTGTATATATATATGTATCCAACTTTACTAAATAATATACTGTACATATACACCCACCCTTAAACTTGTACATACTGTATATATATAAAATGGCCACATTTCTTGCGTGTGTCTGTCCCCGGAAGGGTGGACTGATTGTTTTTGGATGTCTGCAGCTGTTACCTTGAAGGATGCAATTTCATCTTTCATTTATTTTTCCCCATCTAGACTGTATCAGGATAAACTGTAACTCCAGTAAGTTTTCCCTCAAGTTTCATTTTGTTCTTAAAAAAAAAAAAAGAAAAACTGACTTTATTTTGTTTACTGTTTTATGAGCTGTTTTTTGTTTGAATTATTTTTTGTTCTGATTATGGAGTTGGGGGGAATCGGGGTTGACAAGATGAAGGGCTGGGGTGAGGGTAACGGGCTGAGTGTGGCCCAGGGTGTGGTTTCTGAACTGGGGTGGGTCCTCTCTTCTTTCCTTCCATTTGCTCTTTATGCAGAAAAGGAGGAAAGGGCACCTGGATAAGGAAACAACTTGAAATGAATTGAAATGGTAATTTGTTGTTTTGGGGAAATAATCCTCAGGGGTGGACAAAAAGCATTAGAGCAACCAGAATGCACTTCTCCACTACCAAAAGCTTCAGAAAATAAAAGCAAAGTTCATGACCCAGAAGGTGGCTGCCAACTCTGACATTTCTTTCCCAGCATTTATCACTGTAGGTTTTTTTTTTTTTTTTTTTTTTCTCAGAGGGTGAGCAAGGCATTGTTCTTGGTGATCATGCAACATTTTAACCAAAGACTTGAGACACATTCTGGCTCTGCTGAATGAAAAATTGAAGCCTATTATTTTTACTTTATTCCATTCAAATATTCTGGCTCTTGAAGAGGGGTGTTAATGAAGTGCAGGCTGAATAGTACTCATGTGTTTCTTCCTCTGCCTCAGAAATAAGTATTAACTGGAGTCATGAGGTCAGAAAACAGGGGGAGAGAGGAAGAATGGGCAGGAGGGAAAGAATAGGTCCCATTGATAAAAGGAAGAAAGGAAGAAATATACTTTGAGTCTTATAGCATCTTACATCAGTTAAGATAATTAAATAACTAGGGTAATTAGGGTAATTAGCTCTAACAAACAATCGCAACAGTTCAACAGCTTGACAGAAAACAGGTTTATTTCTCCTTCAGGCAAAATTCAGTGCCAATGCCAGCTTTCTTCAAGGAGGTAATTCAGGCATCTAGGACTCTTTCATGATCTGGGTCCACCACCTTGGAGTTCTTCACTTCTATCCATATCCATAGAGAAGAGAAAAAGAGCTTGGATATAATGCAGTGTGTTTTTGTTCCCTTGCCTGGAAGTGATGATGGCACAGTGCATCACTTCTCCCCAGATTTTGTCAGACATGACTCCATCCAAAACGCAAAGGAAGCTGGGCAATATGTTCCCCCTGTGGATCCAGGAAGATAGAATTCGATTGACTGAGCATCGAACACACATGATTTTCAGTATTATCTTCTCATTTTTTACTTCTTTCCTCATTAAGGCCTTTTGGTAGGAACAAATTCAGAAAAGGAAATAATCCTACTTTTATATTTCATTTACTTGTTTATTCCATCATATTTTACAGGTGCTACTAGCTTAACCTTCTTTCTTGGGAGATGATGACAAACTAATAAAGCCCGAGTCCACTTTTTTGGGGGGCAAATGTTTAATGTAAATTAACAAAAGAAAAGAAATGTAAAAAATCAGTATAAACAACCACTGCCTAAAGCAGAGTGCTTTATGCTTGTCTTGGTGTCATTTTTAGTTAATTTAAGCAATGTCCTATTTTGCTGTGTTTAAACATTTCTAATTAGCCAGAAATCTCTCATGATAGTTAGATCATTAGAAGCCTAATTGAAACATCTCTTTTTTCTAAAGACTGGTGTCTTCTCTTTCTTCAAGCAGCTTTTTTTTTTTAAGATTTTATTTATGAGAGAGAGAGAGAGAGAGAGAGAGAGAGAGAGAGAGAGAAAAGCAGGCTCCAGGGAGCCTAATGTGGGACTCAATCCCAAGACTTCAGGATTATGCCCTGGGCCAAAGGCAGGCGTTAAACTGCTGAGCCACCCAGGGATCCCCCAAGCAGCTTAACTGAGATATAATTTCCATACCACAAAATTCATCCACTGTAAGCCTACAATTCAGTAATTTTTATTAAATTTATAGAGTTGTCCAAACACCACCACAATCACATTTTAAAGCATTTCCATCACCCCCAGCCTCCAAATTTTCCTCAGGTCCATTTGCAGTTAATCCTCGCTCTCACCCTTAGCCCTAGACAACTACCTTTTTGCTTGTATTCCTATAAACTCTTCCTTTTCTGGACTTTTCATATAAATGGAATCATATAATATGTAGTCATTTGTGTTTGGTTTCTTAAAAATAGTGCAGTATACCTATGAAAAGCATGAAGGTGGAAAAATCTCATTCAAAGTTGAATCTAGCATCTTCTGGCTTGGATATTTATTTGCAGAATAGAGAACTGAAGGAATTATTTGATTGGGATATCAGGACTTACTTTTTGTGCTCAAGCCACACTTTATCTCACAATTAATTTCACATATTTCATCTGATCAGCCATGAAAAGTCATCATTAGACAAGTTCCAGAATTCTTTCTTCTAGGAGGACAGTGCCTCTTCTCCAGGATATAGATGCCAGCAGGTTTTCTAAACCTGATCAAAGATTTTCTATTCAGAACCACCAGGGCCATTTCCTCATTGAGAGGAAATATGTCAGCAAAGATGCATTCCCTACTTTGATCACAGTACAGAAAGAGTATAACTCGTTTTTGTTCAATATTTAGGTAAAGAGCCAAGATTGGATTTTGGAAATCAGTTTTGAAATCTTAAGATAAACCTTTAACATACTAAGGAAGTTAATTTTGGCAAGAACATCAGAGAAGGAATACATAGTGCCCACTAATTAAACAGTGGTTGAAAAGACAAAAAAGAAAACAAAACAAACCCTGAGTCCTTTAATCTAAGGTCTTTAGTGCTGTGGTAAATAGATGTGCACCCAGGGGAATGTAGGGTCACAAAGTGAAAGTGACACATTTTCTTGAAGTCAATTTTAATTGTTGATTTGGAGTAAAAACTTGAATTGAGACCAAAGTGATATATTATGCAGAAGAATGCAAATAAGTGTGAATCTTATTTAGTTTATGAATCTTCAGTTTTAAGGAAGACTAAGAATTCAAAGACATATCATTTTTATTATGTATCTTGTCTTTTCCATCCCTGGCATTACTGGCAATTGGGTGGGAAAGTTCAAGAACGTTATGCAACTGAAACAGGTACAGGTAATCAGAATTTCTCAACCTCTTTCGTTGTGGACTAGATGTCAATGTTCAGATTAGTCTTTTATAACATCTCAAGTTGTTTCTGTAATAGGTGTGTAGATCCTTACTCTTACCCAGTTTTTTTGATGGATTGATTTGTACCCTGAGTTTAGGAGGGAGGGCTTTTCCACTTACATCTCAGCCTTGTCTCCAGATGCCATTTCAATAGAAGTTGGAAGGTGTTACTGCTCACATTTTAGAACAGAGATGCTTTTTTCCTTTGGAGGGACATACCTAATTGAGCTTTAACCACGTTTGAATTTAAGTTCATGAACTTTTCCAGGAATCCTTTTTTAGAATGCCCATAAAGTCAGGTAAAATACAAAATGACATCATCTATGTTTTTCCTCTTCATCTGCTGCAAAATGTTTGGGGAAATGGCTGTTTCCAACAGTTTGTGTCACACTCTTTGGAATGGGAGAAGAGCATGAAAAAGAAGGATGATCTTCCAATGTGAGGAGAAAGCAACTGGCCATGACAGAGGACAGTGATCTTGAGATACAAGTTTCTTCTTTTGGACTCTGTTGGCTGGTCCTTTCATCAATGACTTTGGCCTAGCTCCATGCTGAGGGTTTCCAAGAGGAGGAAACATTTTTTTTTCTTTTTAAAATCAGCTTCACTGCTTTCCTTCCTCTTTGTCTTTCTCTTTTCCAATTCTTTGTCTTTCCCCATAATATCAATAATGTACTTATCATTATTCAGTCTAAATCTTGCTACACCTGTTGTCCAAATTCTCCAAGACTACCATATATAAATTCTTCTCTGACTTCTATCACCAGCCATATATTACAGAGTGTACAAATCGAGGCCTTTGGTTGAAATTGACATTGCTGGATTTGGTTCATTTGACAGGAATATTAAAAATATGTATATAATCAGGAATTTCCAGCTTAGAACTTACTTTTAAATTGCAAAAGATCAACAGAGTTGGCAGTCATCATGGTGATTGAACTACAGGGTGGCCTGGAGCACTTCTAAAGAAAACAGGGCTACTTTCTGGGGAATTTTTGGAGGAAATCACCTGTTCCCATGGTTCCAGTTCCATGAGGCTGGCAGTACCCTAAGAGGTATGTGGTTCTGAAAACAGGTATGGACTTCTTATTGGTCTCATGGATGTTTGCTCAAATCAAAGTATAGAAAAAGGTTTGTTGTTTTTCATCTTGTCTGATTATGACTTTGCCCTACAATTTCCTAGCCCCTCCTTTATTCTCTTCCTTTCAAACTGTGTGCAGCATAGCTTGAATGAATATAGTATAGTCATATAGTCATATTCATGACTTATGAATATGACATGTATGAATATAACAAACACATAAAAATAAATGTCAATATCATGCTTTTGTTTTTCAGCCTTTCCCTTCTCTGAAAGGCCAATTCCTCTGTGTATGGTCATTTTTTTCTCAATCTTTCTAAAAAGAAGTGTATTTATCATACAGAAATTGTGAATTTGTGCACATGCCCGATTATTTAGACAGATGAAGGACCCCTTCTCCCCCACCAATTCCTTTGAACTTGAAGTCTTAATGTATCTGTAACAAGATTCATTTTTTTTTCTTGTTAGATATAAAGGAGAAAAGAAATAGAGTGCCATACAAAAATATACAAACACTCAAATGTCACCCTGTACTCACTTGTGTTAGAGAACAGCTTTGGTAATCTTGTCAATTTCCATAGACTGTTATCTTTGAATCCTCATAGAAGCATACAATTATATAAGAGCTGTATTAAAATAACATCATAAGGATATGATACCTCCAAGTCATACCTCTGAAGGCTACTAGTATTTACTAAATATTCCTTCTCTTCCACCTGCTTGCTTAGCACTTGGTTTTTGCCTTTGGGTTAGGTTCTATGCCTTAGTCTGTTTTTAAGGAGACTCG